AATCCAGTGACTGAAAGGCGTGGGCCAGGGACAGTCAGGCTGGGGAGGAAAGAACTAGATGATGCGGGATGTCCTCCAGCCAGGAAATTAGATGAACTGTATCTGATTTGCTGAAGCTTCTAATGCACATTGCATTCGCATGCAGAATGCCCTAGGTCAGGGGGTGGGCAACTGTGGCCCTCCAGCTGTTGGTGAACTACAAGTCCCATCATGTCTCTGCCTTTGGGAGTCATGCTTGTAACTGTCGGATTTGCAATGCCTCACGGGACTTGTAGTTCTACAACAGCTGGAGGGCCACAGTTGCCCACCCCTGCCCTAGGTAACACCCACATAAGCGGATTAAAAGAACTGGAATCCAATGACTGAAAGGCGTGGGCCAGGGACAGTCAGGCTGGGGAGGAAAGAGCTAGATGATGTGGGATGTCCTCCAGCCAGGAAATGACTTGCTGCAGTTTCTAATGGAGATTGTGAGAAGCTCACAGTGTGCAGTGAAATCAGAGCAAGCAATTTCAGTGCAGGACTGATGGTGGAGTTCAGCTTTAAAGAGTACCTGTCACCTCCATACAATGCTGGAACCCACATTGCAGGCTAAACCATTGTTCAGGGGCGGACTGACCATTTGGAAACTTAGGCACTGCCTGAGGGCCTGGGGTCAGTAGGGGGCCTCATGGATGCCCCTGGTACCTTTTTCATAGGCTTTTTTGAGTTTGGGCAAGGACACAGGGGCCCCCATGATCCCCTATTGCCCGGGGCCCCGTGATCCCCTATTGCCCGGGGGCCCCATGATCCCCTATTGCCCGGGGGCCCCGTGATCCCCTATTGCCCGGGGGCCCCGTGATCCCCTATTGCCCGGGGCCCCGTGATCCCCTATTGCCCGGGGCCCCGTGATCCCCTATTGCCCGGGGGCCCCATGAGTTGTCAGTCCGCCCCTGCCATTGTTTTTAGAAAACGGAATTCACAAATGAAAGCCCCATCGCCATTCACGAGCGGAATGTCGGTTCTGCTCACAAAATGGTTGTCGCTGGCATGCGTCCGGCCTTTCTAGCTGCATCTGAGATTTATTCCCTCCTTTGTTGGCTGCTTGTGATTCCGCTGCCTGGCTGCGATCACAATATTTACATCTGCAGACCTAACATGTTCATTCCGTGTGCCAGGTCACAGATGCTGCGTCTCCAGGTGCCGCCGATTCTGCTCCATCAGCTGTTCTGCCGGCTCTCCTCGCTCTCGTGTTACCAGTTCCCTGCGTGGAGGCGGCTCAGGTGTGAATTCCTGACGCGGCTACAGTCTCCTGCCTGCCTGCCGGTGTTGTTGTCGTGGCGGAGGACGGAGAGGATTTCATATTAGAGACCTGCATAAAGCTGTATTATACCCAGAAGAAAACATTTATTATATTGCAGCTTAACAATTCGTAGATGCGGTGACTGCATTAGTTTTCTTTTTTTTTTTCTGATATTTTCTCCAGCCAATACGTCTGGTGTTTTTCAGCAGAACAAGCTGTCCTGCAGATGTAGCAATCAGAGGGTTGAGGCAAACCATTTAGGCTGCATTCTCACCCGAGAATGGCGTTTTTATTGGAGAGATTTTGAGCGTTTTTCGAAGTGTATTACAAGCGTTTTAGAAAAATATTGCAGCTTCAAGCGTTTTTGTTTAGCCAATAGAAAGCAGGAGAGGGGGAGGAAAGTAGGGGCAGAGAGCTGTTGTTTGAGCAGAAAACATTTATTTATTTCAGGTACTTCTATAGCGCCGTCAATTTACACAGCACTTTACATATATATTGTACATTCACATCAGTCCCCGCCCCCGAGGAGCGTACAATCTAAGGCCCCTAACCCTCAAGGGGTATACAATCTAAGGTCCCTAACCCTCAAGGGGCGTACAATCTAAGGTCCCTAACCCTAAAGGGGCGTACAATCTAAGGTCCCTAACCCTCAAGGGGCGTACAATCTAAGGTCCCTAACCCTCAAGGGGTGTACAATCTAAGGTCCCTAACCCTCAAGGGGAGTACGGAGAACATGCAAACTCCAGGCAGGTGGTGCCGTGGTTGGGATTCGAACCGACAACCCGAGTACTGCCAGGCGGAAGTGCTAATCATTTAGCCACTGTGCTGCCGAAAACATGCGACAATGCACTCAAGTTGCACGTTTTCAGATGTTTCTATTGAAGTCTATGGGACCAAAAATGCTTTAAATCTGTCAAAAAGAAGCTCATGTACTTTTTGGATTGACAGGCGGTTTGCTTCACGCTCATATGTGAACAGGGGCCATTGAAATGTATGGGATTTGGCTTCTTGTGTATTTTAGAGGTACAAGTTTTCAAGCAGTAAATCGCTCAGGTGTGAATGGGGCCTTAACACTGACAGGGGTGCTTACAATGATCAGCTTTTATTTACGTAAAACCTTTATCCCAAAAGGTAAAAAAAAAAACGGCTGTAATGGATTTAAAAGTGTGAGCTTGGAATTTGGCTTCAACTTTGTTAGTGTATCTAACCCCAGACTGACTATGCTGCTGTCTGCTGTGCCTCCTGTTCTCCTTCCAGAAGTGTCTCAATAATACAGGAGGTGTGTTACTGGCCAGATTACAATCAGAGGGGGGGAAAAAGCCTAAACAAAAAACTAATGCAGCCACCACTTCTAGTGATTTTTTTGTTTGGGGTTTCACTTTAATGGGGCTCTGGATTGAGACAAGTGCACATTTTAGACGGGTATTCTTTGTCCATATTTCATGTCTGAGGTTTACAACCACTTTAAAGTGTTACTAAACCCCAATCCTGCATTCACGATATCTGGTCTCCCTGGACCCTGCATTCACTATATCTGGTCCCTGGACCCTGCATTCACTATATCTGGGGTCTCCCTGGACCCTGCATTCACTATATCTGGTCTCCCTGGACCCTTCATTCACTATATCCGCTCTCTCCAGACCTTGCATTCACTATATCCGGTCTCCCTGGACCCTGCATTCACTATATCTGGTCTCCCAGGACCCTTCATTCACTATATCCGATCTCCCCGGACCCTGCATTCACTATATCTGGTCTGGCTCCCCAGGACCCTGCATTCACTATATGATCTCCCTGGACCCCTGGACCCTGCATTCCTATATCTGGTCTCCTTCGGACCCGGACCCTGCATTCACTATATCTGGTCTCCCGGGACCCTGCATTCACTATATCCGGTCTCCCAGGACCCTGCATTCATTATATCCGGTCTCCCCAGGACCCTGCATTCATTATATATCTGGTCTCTCCGGACCCTGCATTCACTATATCTGGTCTCCCGGACCCTGCATTCACTATATCTGGTCTCCCCGGACCCTGCATTCACTATATCTGGTCTCCTCAGGACCCTGCATTCACTATATCTGGTCTCCGGTCCCCGGACCCTGCATTCACTATATCTGGTCTCCCAGGACCCTGCATATCACTATATCTGGTCTCCCCAGACCCTGCATTTCACTATATCTCGGTCTATAATCCCGGACCCTGCATTCACTATATCTGGTCTCTGGACCCCTGGCAGGACCCTGCATTCACTATATCTGGTCTCCCAGGACCCTTCATTCACTATATCCGCGGTCTCCCGGTCTCTCCTGGACCCTGCATTCATTCTCACAGGACCTCTATATCCGGTCTCCCCTGGACCCTGCATTCACTATATCTGGTCTCCCAGGACCCTGCATTCACTATATCCGGTCTCGGTCTCCCTAGCCGGGACCCTGCATTCACTATATTCCGTGTCTCCCTGGACCCTGCATTCACTATATCCGGTCTCTCCCAGGACCCTGCATTCACTATATCTGGTCTCCCGGACCCTGCATTCACTATATCTGGTCTCCTCGGACCTGCATTCACTATATCTGGCCTCTTCCAGGACCTGCATTCCACTATATCTGGTCTCCTCGGACCCTGGACCCTGCATCATTCACTATATCCGGTCTCCCCGGACCCTGCATTCACTATATCTGGTCTCCCCCGACCCTGTCATTCACTATATCCTGGGTCCCCGGTTGGACCTGGCACCTGCCTCTACTATATCTGGTCTCCCCAGGACCCTGCATTCACTATAATCTGGTTCACTATCATTCACTATATCTCTCCTGGACCCTGCATTCACTATATCCGGTCTCCCATGGACCCTGCATCACTATATCTGGTCTCCCCAGGACCCTGCATTCACTATATCTGATCTCCCTGGACCTTCATTCACTATATCCGCTCTCTCCCCGGACCCTGCATTCACTATATCCGGTCTCCCTGGACCCTGCATTCACTATATCCGGTCTCCCCAGGACCCTGCATATCCGGTCTCCCCCTGGATTATATCTTGGTCTCCCAGGACCCTGCATTCACTATATCCGGTACTCCTCCTGGCGAAAAAGGACCCTGCATTCACTATATCTGGTCTCTAATATCCGGTCTCCCCCCTGCATTCACTATATCTGGTCTCCCCAGGACCCTGCATTATATCTGGTCTCCCTGGACCCTGCATTCACTATATCTGGTCTCCCCGGACCCTGCATTCACTATATCTGGTCTCCTCGGACCCTGCATGGCACTATATCCGGTCTCCCCGGACCCTGCAGGACCCTGCATCATTATATCCGGTCTCCCAGGACCCTGCATTCATTATATCCCTGGTCTCCCCGGACCTTGCATTCACTATATCTGTCTCCCAGGACCCTGCAATTCACTATATCTGGTCTCCCAGGACCCTGCATTCACTATATCTGGGTCTCCCCGGACCTGCATCATATCTGGTCTCCTCGGACCCTGCATTCCTAATACCGCTCTCCCCGGACCCTGCATTCACTATATTCGGTCTCCCCGGACCCTGCATTCACTATATCTGGTTCTCCCCGGACCCTGCATTCACTATATCTGGTCTCCCGGACACCCTTGCATTCACTATATCCTGGTCTCCCTGGACCCTGCATTCACTATATCTGGTCTCCCCAGGACGGACCCTGCATTCACTATATCTGGATCTCAGATTCATATCCGCTCTCCCCGGACCCTGCGTTCACTATATCCGGTCTCCCCGGACCCTGCGTTCACTATATCCGGTCTCCCCGGACCCTGCGTTCACTATATCCGGTCTCCCCGGACCCTGCGTTCACTATATCCCCGGACCCTCTCACTATATTCCGGTCTCCCCGGACCCTGCGTTCACTATATCCGGTCTCCGGACCCTGCGTTCCCTCCCGGACCCTGCGTTCACTATATCCGGTCTCCCCGGACCCTGCGTTCACTATATCCGGTCGGTCTCCCCGGACCCGGACCCTGCGTTCACTATATCCGGTCTCCCCGGACCCTGCGTTCACTATATCCGGTCTCCCCGGACCCTGCGTTCACTATATCCGGTCTCCCCGGACCCTGCGTTCACTATATCCCGGTCCCCGGACCCTGCGTTCACTATATCCGGTCTCCCCGGACCCTGCGTTCACTATATCCGGTCTCCCCGGACCCTGCGTTCACTATATCCGGTCTCCCCGGACCCTGCGTTCACTATATCTGGTCTCCCACAGTACACACAACATGGAAGTGCGATTATTTTAGTAAATATAAACGGCTAAATACCTTTCCTCATCAGCAATATATAGGAGTCTTGTGGCTTCTATCAGTGTCCAGCAGAGCACTGGTTAAAGCTTTTAGGAGGAGTTTTCATTCTCCTCTGATTGTCCTATGAGGCTGCAGCACCCCTTACCCTCTTTCTGGACAGTGCTGATTGGCCCTGTGCTGATCACATGCACTTTCCCAAGAAAAAAAAAACTCGCTAGCAATACACACCAAGCTGAGCATGTGCAGCTTGCCTCCAAGGCTCTGTTCTATCAGCAGATGGATTGGGGACAGTAGAAGGGGAGGGATCAGAGAAGACAGGATCAAACAGGCTTTTTACACAATGCGGAGAATTAACCCCTTAGGTTCCACAGTGAGTATATAACAAGCATGCTTTACTGCATCTACAGACTGATTGTACTGCTGTGGGTTTAGTAACCCTGTAAGGTGTCCCAGTCACAATAAGCAGGCTGCCAATGCAACAAACATGGCACATGCACCATTTCTGGCATAAAACCGACCACATTAGTGCGTTGCTTTGCGCTGCAATACTCAGCCTTCGGCAAGGTTTGTTGGGTTTGTTTAGACGGAATGACTCTGCATAGAGCCAGTGTATGTGACGCACTTGTGTGAATGGGCCTCCAATTTTTAGCACTACTTCTTGCATAGCATTTGCTTTTCAAAGGAGGACTCCAGTTTTGGATGGAAAGCGATTAGAGGCCTTGTCATATTACCTATTCAAGGCAAGTGACACCCTCGAACTGGGGTGTGCCCGCCTCTGCAGTGATTCCATGTATGGTGGGGTGGGAATGTGACCTCCTCCTGTGATGACCTCCTCCTGTGATGACCTCCTCCTGTGATGACCTCCTCCTGTGATGACCTCCTCCTGTGATGACCTCCTCCTGTGATGACCTCCTCCTGTGATGCAGTACTGGCACCCAATGGCTCACCAGTAGCCCCGGTTGGTGTTACATGATGGAGAAAAGACATGATCACCCCAGCTTTGGCTCCCACACCAGGGATTTTTCTGCGAAGGAAGAAGGTGGATATAAGTGGTCAGGGGTTGGCCTTTAAAGAGACCCTGCGTGGGCTGGGTGACGGGGAGCTTTTTATCTTCACCAGCGTTACTCCATCAGTCACATTGTCCTCTTCATCGTCCTCTTTATTGTGGGAAAACAAATGGAAGCATCTGATTGGTCGCTATGAACGCCATAAACGGATCTTGATAAACGAGGTTAAACATATTTAATTAGTTGCTGAAGGTCACATGTCAGCCCATATATTAAAGCCGCGTTAAGGCGAATAGAGCATTTTATGCCGCGGCGCGTTGCTCGCTGTGGATTAGGAAAGCTTATTAATGCTGTTTGACTGATATAAATGATTTACCTCTCATACGCAGGGCCGCTTTTTTTCCACACCTGTCTTTATCACCTAACACGACTTAATCATACGGCGGCATCATAAATCCACCAGCTTCGTCATCCGCTTAATATCGCTCTTGACGGCTCTGGCCCTCAACCCATCTCCTGAGAGGGTCCCTCTGGTGCCACTTTGCAGCTGTTGAAATTGCATTTTCCTTTGTTTGGAGTTTGCAATGAGCCGGATTTATGCCCCCCGTCCATGGCGAGGAATATTAATGCTTTGCTCCCGCAGAACGCAGCCTCCGTCTCACTCGGGCCTAAGTGACAAATGAATGGAGCCTGATTGTGAGCGAGTGAGTCCTGGTCCGGCGGGGGCCAATCAGAGGTGGGTGCCCAAACACGATTACTGAACAGAATCGTAACGGGAAATGGTTGCTTGTAACCTGTCCGTAGCAAGGCACCAAGACATTTATTATTCTAAGACTTGTATCTGTTCTGAATTCTGCTCTGACTGTATGCGGAGTGTCATACAGACTCAGGAGGATACAGCAGTGAAGGTCTTCAAAGTTACTCTGTATCACATACATTCATAAACTATCTTTTTTTATTTTTATACCCTTTAATTGGCAAAGTAAAGCCAATTCCCTTAAAAATATACCCAGACCCAGTGGTCACAGATATATATACATCACTTATATATACAGTACATCACATAAAACCTTTCTAGGTTGTGATTCCACCCCTGGGCTGGTGAGATGTAAGTGTTCCAGGTCTTGTAGACACCATCTAGGTTGTTTCTCAACTTCTGGGATGCTCAAATGTAAGCACGCTAGATCTCATTGACCCCCATCTAGGTTGTTTCTCCACCTCTGGGCACTCTGATGTAAGCATTCTCATGGACCCATCTAGGTTGTGTTTCCATCTCTGAGTTGCTCAGATGTAAACATTCTATGTCTCATAGACCTCATCTAGGTGGTGTTTCCACCTCTGGGCCAGTCAAATGCAAGCACTCCAGATCTTACAAAGACTTCATCTAGGTTGTTTCCACCTCTTGGTTGCTAACATTCTAGGTCTCCTAGACCCCACCTAGGTTGTGCCTTCAGCTCTAGGCCCCTGAGATGTAAGCACTCTGTCTCAAAGACCACATCTAGGTTATGTCTACAACTCTGGGCTGCTTACATTTAAGCGCTCCAGATTGAATAGAACCAATCTAGGTTGTGTTTCCACCTCTGGGCTACTCAGATATAAGAATTTTAGCCTATGTCTCAAAGACTCCATCTTGATTTTGTCTTTTCTACTGGGATTTTCAGATGTAAGCTCTCTAGGTTTCATAGACCCCCATCTAGGTTGTGTTTCCACCTCTGGGCTGCTCAGATATAAGCATTTTAGCCTATGTCTCAAAGACTCCATCTTGATTTTGTCTTTTCTACTGGGATTTTCAGATGTAAGCTCTCTAGGTTTCATAGACCCCCCCATCTAGGTTGTGTTTCCACCTCTGGGCCTCTCAGATGTAAGCGCTCTAGATCTTCTAGACCTCATCTAGGTTGTGTTTCCAACTTGGGCTGCATAGAAGTAAGTGGTCTAAGTCTCAAAGACCCTAGCTAGGTTGTGTCTTCACCTCAAGGCTGCTCAGATCGACGTGCTGTAGGTCTCATAAACCACATCTAGGTTGTTTCTCCATCTTTGGGCTGCTCAGATGTAAGTGCGCTAGGTCTCATAGACTAGTTATATACATATCTAAGTTGTTTCTACTCAAATGTAAGCACTCACGGTCTCATAAACCCCACCTAGGTTGCGTATACACCTCTGGGCCTCTCACATGTACATATTCTACGTCTCTTAGACCCCATCTAACTTGTGCCTACATCTCTGGGCTGCTTAGGTGAAAGCACTCTAGGTCTCAAAGACCTCATCTAAGTTGTGCTTTCGCCTCTAGGCTGCACATAGTTAAGCAACTTCGGTCTCATACACCCCCAACTTGGTTGTACCTTCACCTCTGGACCACTCAGATGTAAGTACTCTAGGTCTCAGGGACCTCAGCACTGGGGTTGTAACTCCACAGTTAGGGGTCTATGGAACCTGCACTGCTTACACCTGAGTGGGGTGGAAGGGAAGTGGATATATAACTGATTGAACTCTGGTAAGTTTTTTTTTTTTTTTTTTTTGTCCTTCGAGTTCAGCTCTAAGCCACCTATGTGTTTTTGGGTGTTAGGAAGACACCATAACCCCTGGTGCAAACCCACAGACATTAGGATAACATACAAACTCCATGCAGATAGTGTGTCTGATGGGACTTAAACGCAAAACTCAAGCACCATGAGGCACAATGATGAATCTTTTAGTTCTGTGGGCCACATGAAGCCACAGATACAAGAAGCCCACTTAGGGTCAAAATGCATTGCCTTTTATTGAATACATTTTTCTTTCTGTGCTATGAGAACTGTTCTTTGTAGCCAATGGTTCCTGAACTACCTGGCTCCTGGGATCTCCATACAGATTATTTGCCCCTAGGCCTTTCAGCATCAAAACATGTTATTAATTTGCCCATGCGGGCCTCCCCCTGTACTTAGAGCTGCGAGGCTGCTGTCTCCGAGGTTCTCTTATCTCTCCTGGCCTTGTCCCACTTGGCCTGACCCTGCAATAAAGTTGGTGAATTGCATCAGAGTTTCTGGAGGAGATCCTGAGGGCCCAGAGGGAGTTCTATGTTGTTGTATGTGAGCTGCCTCTCTGCTCACCGCAAACATGTACTTAACAGCTACAAGCAGGAGATTGAGATTTGTTTTCATGGCAGGCAGGTTATTTCTACATGTGCCTTGGTGAAGATGGAAACTTCGAGGTAGATCTTTCATCAGATCAGACAGGTTAGAAAAACATTTTCAATCTCCGTTATTAACTTCAAGACAAGCAGTCTCCAGGATGGTCTTCTCTCAGTGAAGCCTCACCTCCCTACAATGCTCCATTGTCAATATGGCTACAATATTTCCAGCAACTGTTGTTTAGAGGGGCAAGTTACAACTGACTGTTCTTTGACATCTGCGTCCAGCTGTACTGTCAGCTCTGCTTTAGAAACACTTTAAGAATAGGATCGGCTTATATAATGCCAGCAGTGTCAGATTGTTAGAATGAAGACATTTTTCAGTTGCCATCAGCAGGTATTTTGCACATACGCTGGAGTACTACAGCCATTTGCTACACGATTCCATGCCTTATAACCTCCTTCTTTTGAGGACTACAGAGAGCGGTGCTTATAGCTTTTTTTTATATTATTATTATTATTATACAGGATTTATATAGCGCCAACAGTTTGCTCAGCACTTTACAATATCAGGGAGACAGTACAATTACAACACATTTCAGTACAGAAGGAATAGGAGGGCCCGGCTCGTGGAGCTTACAATCTAAAGGAAGGGGGAGGTGATACAAAAGGTGGT